TTTTTTTGTTATAATTAATATTAATTATAGTAATAATTAGGTAATTATAATTAATAATTAATCACTAATTACCAATTAATTATAATTAATACATTAATTATTATTATAATTTGTTAATAATTAACTATAATTAATCGAAATTAATTATAATTAATTAAACAATTATAACTAATAATTAACTGCTAATTAATAATTAACTAATTAATTATAATTATAATTAAATAATGATTAATATATTTAATATTAATAAAAATTAATTAACCCTTCCCCCCTCTTCCTCTGCTTACGGGATCCAGCCAAAGAAGCGTGAAAAGGAGAAAGTTACCTTCCAGCTAGCGAGCTCCTTTGCTTGCTCCCGATCAAAATGTGTTAACTTCCGATCTAACGGGGAGGGGGCGACGTCAAAGGAGTGAAGCCAAGCCGCACGGAGGAGGCGAGGAAGTGCGCTGGAAGGGAGAAAGTTAATCTTCACAGCGAGCTCCCGTTTGCTGCTTCCGCTCAAAGTGTCGTAACTTCCGACTCAACTGGAAGGGAGAGTCGTAGGAAAAGCGAAGCCGAACGGTCAGAAGGAGCCGAAGAAGAGCGCGAAAGGTAGACAGTTATCTTCACAGCCGGCGAGCTCCTTTTCAGGCTTCCGATCAAAGTGTCGAGCTTCCGTTCCGACGGGCAAGGAAAGTCGTCGAGCAGGCGGGGTCGAGCAGTGACGAAGGATGCCGAGGGAGCTCGTGTGAGGGAGAGAGGGAACCAGCGAGAGAGAGCCAGAGATCGAGAGAGGAGAGCTCGGGATCGGAGAGGCAGCGAGAGTGAGAGAGAGTCGACGCGGGAGAGACCGAAGGCCTCGTTGCCTCGAGGCTTTTAACGACTCAAAATGAGTCGTTCTACGATCGTGGGGAGAAATGACGCAAGGCATGGCCTCGTCGTGCGAAGAGCGGCGACAACGTGGGGAGCGACGTGCTTCGGCAGAGCAGGTAGGGATTTTAATTTAATTTTCTTTTCTTTTCTTTTTGTTTCACGGGAGAGGGTCAACAGTGTGTCAAAAAAAGACAGTAGAGTAGAAGGAAGAGAAGAGGATATTAAAAAAAATAGAAAAAGGAAAATGAACAAAAAGGGATTTTTTCATCATCATTGTTGTCGCGCAGGTATAATTTCTAAACTCAAAATCCTATTTTCAGCACTCGCGGCGTGCTGGCAAACCACCCTACGCACACTCGTAGCACGATAGGAGGGAACTCGGTACGACGTTTGCAGTGAAGCGGATAAGCCTCTAAGCGCTCTCGTAGCATGAAGGGGACAATTTCTAGGTACTTGTAGATGTCTTAGTGCTTACGGGGAAAGAATTACATATATTCCCAAGCATATACCTCAAAGACCCCTAAGCGCTCTCGTAGCATGGAGGGGATTGAAGAAATACGGTCACGGTGTCGCCCGATACCCACCTGAAGCGCTCTCGTAGCATGGAGGGGAAGACCCAACCCTTGGAATTTCCCCTAAATATGGGAGACGTCGGGAGGTTGCCAAAATTTTCGGTGAACCAAGGACCTGAATTTGGATAATGACATGGGATCAAAATTGAACCAAATAACATGGGACTTGACTTGAACCACATGGAACAAAACTTAAAGCAATAAATCGGAATTTAATTCGATAAATGCATGATAAAATTGAAAATACAAGATGTTGAATAATGATCTAAAGTATTCAAACAGACATCAATTATTGAACATGAAATTTGTGCCGGATAAGAAACTCCAAATGCAATTCACTTATAAGCCAATGCTTAATCAATCATATGTAAACGATAATATCTCCTACATGTATATACAAGAAAGTTGTAATGACGTGACGACATGCTCAATGCATCCACCAATACATTCATTTTACAAGCAAATACATCGATTTGTCATGAAAAATTAAACATAAAAACCTGCTGAATGAAGCAAATTATCAATCGACATGCAAGGAATTGGGCACATCTATGAATAATTATCTGTTACATGACATGTTCTTTAGCAAGACACGAAGGTGGTGATTGACATGCAACAAAGGTGATGATCTCCAATATTCTCCATCTCAAAACAAAATCACCTTTGACCGATTCAGCTAGCCAATAGTATTAGAAGGATATGAGAACTCCTCAAAACAAACATACTGACTACTTGGGTAGAGGAGGATGAGTATGAGCTTGTTGGAACTGATCTAGCACAGTATGAATCCATCTAATGGAGCTTATCAAAAGTGACATAGTTGTCATTCCTTACGCATAGATCCATATGATCCTCATCGTGCTAGACAACATCCCTTCTCTCTGTTTGAAATATTTTTACACTACTACACTAAAGAAATTGAAATCAATTTCTTCTGGTCAAAACTAGTCAAACTTTAGTAGGTTTTACTAGGATCATAGAGCTCATGGAGGACAATTAGGTTCAAAAAATACAAATCAAAAGAGAGAACTAGGGTTTTTATTGGTTTCTTGATGAATCAATAGCAATTTTCGGAAAGATGAGCCTCAATATTACAAGGAAATAAAGAAAGAAAATGGATCTCCCCAAAAAAGAGGAGTCTCAAAAAAGGATCTTACACATGACACCTGGACATCTTATTTTTGGGTGTCTACTAAAGTTATGCTACATGCAATGCCATTCAAGATACTGCTATGATTTTAAGTAGTATGATATGATTGTCACATGCTATACAACTTCGTCGGGACCTATCTCTTATCAAAAAGTGAGTCTTTTTGGATGAATATTGTTGTCAATATAACTACTTTGTTCGTGTTGACAAAGTAAGATGGACGACATCACAAGTTTGGGTATTAAGGCTTTATTTGGGACGGTTTTCTTACTGTTTTATTATAAAGCATTATATCAGCTTTATAGTACAAAATTTTTTAGTTTAAATATTTTTTTTAACTAAAAAACTGCTTTAGAAAGCAATAAGAAAGCCATCACAAATGAAGCCTAACTATTGGAAAGTAGGTTATAAATGCAATTTGATGGGAACAAATGGGCTTGTTATTCTCTTATCATGTTTTCAACCACTTCTTGAACAGCATGTGGTCTTTCTAAAACTTTCCATGGAGAATTTAATCCAATGATCCGGTGTGACTTAGCTAAGTTTCCCTGTACAATAGGCTTAAATTAATGATGCCCTAGCCCACCTAACCGAATAGACTTGACTACCTAGACCAGACTAAAATAGATAGCAAAGCGAAAGATAGGTTAAAATTAATAGTAAAGGAAATAGAAGGTTAATTCAATTCAAATTTACCATCTCTGTGAGATATTTAAAAACCAACTTCTTCTTCCCAGCTTCGTATATGTTGCATTGAGAGATAATCTGAAACAAAAGACATTAAAATTGGTTTACTTACTACTATTCAGATGCTTTAAGACTTACAAAAGTTACAAATTAGCCAGTAAACAAACACCTGTGATTCAACGCTAGCACAAACGGCATATATGCCCCAACTTCTTGTGTAATTATTGTAAAGATGAACTTTGGCAAATCTAACACGAGGATGCCTTTGCTTTGTTCCATCAAAAAAACAATGGTGAATTGT